CGACACAGAGGAGGATCAGGGCCTCGCTGACTGATCTGGACAATGAAGAGGCGATAGAAAACCTCTCCGTGCGCCAGCTCAAAGAGATTCTCGCCAGGAACTTTGTCAATTACTCCGGCTGCTGCGAGAAGTGGGAGCTGCTGGAGCGAGTGCATCGACTCTACAGAGAAAATGAGCATAACAGGAAATCCAGTAAGCATTTGACTTTTCCTCTTTTTGCATCTAAATAACACATTGTGGCCTTCAATGTTTTGTATGATAAAAACAATACCGAACACTATTTATCTCTTTCTTTCAGTGGAAAATGTGAGCATAACACCTAACACATGTGCAGGTAAATATAGTTTTTTGATTATCATATTTCCATTGTTTAGACTATGACAATGCTTTATAGTGAACACTAATATTACCGTATTAAATCGGCATTTGATTTCAGTGATGGAAAACAACATTGTTTTAAGTTAAAGGCTTAATGGACTGTTTCCTGGACTAATATTTCTTTATTACTGCCTATTCTTATCTATAAAGTGGTTGCATATCCTCCACCTCTCTGCAACAGTGGAGTTGGAGGTAAGATGTTTTTATAAAAAGTCACCATTTTTTTCCATCTCTTCCATGAACACTAACCGTGCATTAATCATCTCATAGCAGTAAAGGCATGCTGCATCATTTGTACCCACTTGATCCTTTATATCCCCCTGCATATTATCACATTATGGTCACTAAGTCATTTTCTCCTGCCTGATTCAGTTTCTCCACATTCAGTCACTCGTGTTTCTTTTTTTTAGAGGGCATCCTCTCATCCTGTCATTAATGCACCGTCTAAGAGCTTTTACTTCTCCATGAGCCATCATGTGACTTCAGTAGCAGCATGTCTCCTTCAGGTGTAATTACATTATTGAGCTTCATAGAGGCTCTTTTGTTGACATAAGAGGTTGAGGATCATATTAGCCCATTTGATAATCAGACATTTAGGGACAGCAGGCAGCTCCAATGATGTTTTACCGTCGTACAAGATGGGAGCAGGAACCAGATATAGGCACTGAGCTCTCAGACAGCAATCAGACATTTAAAGGGGGGCTTATATGTTATGGGGTTTTCCCTTTGTTGTAGTGTTTCATATATTTTGTGCATGTAAATGGTTTGCAAAGGCTTTAAAATCCTGGTGTTCCCTCCAGACTCGCCTACACCACACCCCCCCCCCCCCCCCCCCCCCCCCCCACCCACCCCCACCACCACCCCCCCACCCCCCCCAACCTGAAATCCCTCCATTGGACTCCTTTGTTTACTTTTAAATAATGACATCACTTTGAAACACTGGCACTTCTATCGACTAGCGCTCCAACACATTGTGAAGTCCACTGAGACAAATGTAACATTTGTGATATTGGGCTATATCAATAAACATTGATTGATTGATTGATTGTACTTCATAGGCTAAGGGGCGGGACATCTCTAGGCAGTTGACCAATCACAACAGAGCTGGCCAGCTAACCAATCAGAACCATCATATTAGGGCCCCTTTGGTAACTTTAAACCGGTGCACTGATATCATTCTCTGTTCTGATTGCTTGGTTTGTAAAAGTAACATGTCAGTTATTTTAAACATTTAACATAGTTGTCCCATCCACCTTATTGGAGGACAAATATATTATCCTAAGTAAGTCACATCATTTAGTTTTCCATTTGTCCATGACCACCCCTCTACCATTAATATCTCACTTTGTTTGTGCAGTTACATTTTCCACTGCATGATGATGTTTTTCAACATGTTTAAAATATTACGTTTCAATTTTATCCTGAGGAATTTGAACATAAATATACATTTGTTTGTATAACTACAATCCCACAATAGGCCTTACTGAAATAACACTGTGCGTGACTTCAGTGGATCAGATCAGTCAGTTTTCAATGTAACTACCTTAATTGTTAAACTAACTGAGTTGTAACACCACCAGTGGTTTGGATTATTTTACAGTGAAGCCTAACATGTTCAAGGTGTGCACAAAGCAATGGCACTTTTTCATAACGGTTATGTTTGGAAATGTTGTTTTACTAACCAACTGTGATACTAAATAACAGCTACAAACCTGCTGCAGTACAGGGATACATAAGAGAGGAACTGCTGCTGATAAACAAACAGTGATAAATCATGTTTATATTCATACTGCAGCAGCTTAACTTAGGTGTTGTTATACTGTACATCATCTGTATTTCTCAGTTTGACGACCCTGCAGAGACCCATTGTAACTGAAGAATAACTGTTTTCCATCCACAGATGGTGTCAAAGCTCAGCTGGCGGCTGATGATAACTTGTGTCGCATCTGCATGGATGCCATCATCGACTGCGTGCTGCTGGAATGTGGTCACATGGTAACCTGCACCAAATGTGGAAAGAGGATGAGCGAGTGCCCCATCTGCAGGCAGTATGTAGTGCGGGCCGTGCACGTCTTCAAGTCTTAAAACTTTGTGTGAGCGTCGGAGCAGCCCTCAGGCATGCACGTGCCAGAGCCCTGAATGTCTCCCTGAGGATGAACTGCTGTGCATGACGCCTCGCAGGGCCTAAAGCTGCACGGGCGCCGGCAACTCCCCGGTGTTTGAAACCAGACTGGTGCCTCTGGCCTTCCTCGGTTTGTTTTTCCCCTCCTTACTAACTCATGTTCCAGACCCACTTCTCCTCCTGGAGGACCGTCATCAGCTGCACCGGGACACTCACTCTTTCTCTCTTTGGTCTGTTAAACACACAGTAGACCCCTGCCATCACGTTCTGCTCTCTATTGGCTGTTGTTAGATTTTACTCACAGGAGAGGAGAGAAAGGGGAGGAGAGGAGGGGGTCCCACAGATACTTGAAGCGGATCGGATTGTTGTCTGCGGTGAAGAGGAGCAGAAAAATATAAGATCCCAGGGTTAGAGTCAATATGGTTTACACAGTCATGCCACATGACACCATGTTATCTCCCTCAGTGTTCTTATAGGATGTGCAATATCAGAAAAAAAAGAGACTTACATGTGTTTTTATTAAATGTGTATTTATTAATCCGAGCACCAGGTCATCTCGTCTCACACACAGGAGGGTGCAAGGTGCCAAACGTCATGCCTTTTTGATCGATATTTGGTTAGGATTTCACAGTTGATGCTTCGCATCGCCCGCAAGCTTGGTGTGATAGTTTACTCTGTTTTTTCTCTAATTACATTTAGGAAAAAAAGTGTGTAATAGTAAACATTTGAACACTTTGCTGTGTGAAGGATGTGATTGTTATCTAAAAGTGCACAAGTGCACAAACTCGAACGGAAAATAAACTCTTCTTGGTCACACCACAGGCTACACTGCATTCCCGTTACATGACTTGAGCTTATTGGTAATTCAACTTATTTCAAAACAGCAGTTTGACAAAAAAATATGAACTCAAGGCTCACTTAGTCGCTTTTCACTAGGTTTTCAAATGTCACGGGCTTCATCAGCAGTAAAAGGTCAGCGTCCGTGATCTTAGGTCCATGACAGGAGATCCTGTGAATTGCCTCGTCCTTCTCCTGAGGAAGACCATGTGCTAATAAAAAGCTAATAGGTTAGCCTTGAGTGAAAGACTTAGTTTGTACTATTTTAATCTAGGAATCATCCATCTTTAAATTTAAATAACTGCCACCAAGCAATACCATTTAGTTTCCGAGTCTACCAAGTGTCTTTTCTTTGTGTTGTCCGTTGACATGTGGAAATCCTAGGTAGGTGACAGGTGCTATTTCCTCTTTTCTGAGTGTGACATCAACAAACCCTTTGTCATGTTGTCGAGGCGTCCCTCCAAATATCCATCACACAGTGAGAAGTAGAGGAAACTTGGTTTACTTTAACCTGTTATGCAAAAGAAACATTTTGTTTTCTTGTCATGAGATCCATTTAACTCAGATGTCACTAAAATATCTGTGTGTACAGTATGCCTGTGGTACATTTAAAAAAATAAATAAAAAAGCTGTTAAGTGAATCGCATAGGAGCTTATGTTGTTGTTTACTTATAAGTCATTAAATGCATATTTTTCCATTCACTTGGGAGACAACATGATTTTAAAGTTATATTAAATTAAATCTACCGTTCTTCAGAATGTATCTACTGGTTTTGGTCAGATGGTTCCTCATTCATCTGATCGTGTTACACTCACCATTAAAGTCGCGTCTGCCATGGTTGCGCTTTCTAGCACTTTTTGTCGTCGTTTTTGCTTCAGATCTGAACTCTGACACATGTACTGTAACCAACGCTGTAACTGTACGTCTGTTTGTCGATGCTGCTGATTCTCAAATATGTCATTCATGGGCAGCTACAGTACTTTCAGAGTAGGAGGTCATCATGAGCAGCACTCATAATCCTGGGTCTTTATATTTTGGAATGTTGAACCTTTTTATTTTGGGATAATGATTTATTAGATTCAATACAATGCAGTACTACAAACCAGAAAGTAAAAAGCTGCTTTTCATTTGTAAACGGCTTGATTTTGTTCACTTTGACAGTTGAGTGGTTGGCATTTGGTTAATTGTTACTTTTCTGATTTGCAGTGTTTCTTTTTATAATTATGTTTTAATTTAATAGGGCCCCTTCTTACTTAAAGGGCCCTATTATGTTCATTTTCAGGATTCATATTTGTATTCTGTGGCTATACTGGGACATGTTTACAATCTTTTAATGTTCAAAAAGCTCTTTATTTTTCTCATACTGCCTGTGCTGCAGCACCTCTTTTCACCCCGTCTGAAACCAGAGCCCAGTCTGCTCTGATTGGTCAACTGCTTAGATATGTCCCGCCCCTTAGCCTATGATGTACAATGTGTTGGCGCGCTAGCAAATAGAACGAGGTGTGTGGGAGAGAAACTCCCTCTGTAGGGAACTTTGGGATGTTTGCCTTTGCAGACCATGTACATGCACAAAAACCTATACAAGACACTATAGGAAAGAGAAACCCCCCAAAAAGCACAATAGGGCCCCTTTAAACAAAAGGCTTCAAATGCACACAGCTCAGTATTTAAAATGAATTTAATATCTGAAAGGTTGACTTAACTTTTCCTAGAGGCTTTACATGTACATTATGTACAGATTTACAGTTACTAAAATGTTCATGGAGACATAGTGGTTAAGTAAAACAAATAAACAGATAAAATGCAAATGTAAACCCATCCTCTGAAAAACAAACACTATTGCAAAGTTGCTTTATCTTTAAAAAAAGTTTTTTTCAAGAAAGATGCGTACCTATCAAACCATTATTGATTACTAAACATCTTTTTAAATAGCAAAATTATCGTTTTTTTAAATGGCTTCAAAAACTATGATGAATAAATGTGTAATTTGTGAAAAGGCTGCTGTCTGACAGCATCGGCTGCAAAGTACTTTATCTTCAGATGTTTAACTAAATTAAAATACAACTTTAAAGCATGATTTAAAATGAAAAGTCAGTGTCAATAGTGGTCTTCAGTATAATCTACAAAATAAAACAATCAACAAATCCTATTTTACTTTTACATATGCACAAATCTTTTATGAAATACGTTTTTATTTTGCAGTTTCTTCAAATGGCAAATACTGAATGGCATCGGGCCATGATCCTGTCTCATATTTTACAAAAAATAAACAGTGCTTTTGGTTTTTTAACAGGATTTCTTAACCTTATGTCAGAAGCTGGTGTTCGGAGATGGATGGCTCACTGGAATGATTTATCGATAATTGCTTTACATCTTCTAAATACAATATTTTGCCCTTTTGAAAAGAACAGTATTCTGCTCACTTTGCTCAGATGTGTGCGGTCAGGGGAACATTGAAACATACACGATACATTTCTTTACACATTGCACTTTTGACAAATAGGAGAAACATGTCTTCTATAAGATTTTTGCAAATGTGATATATTTTCCTGGACTTTGTTGTGTCTTTATTTCCAGAATAATTCACCTCTTTTTGATTATATGGAGATAATGACTGGAGTGATTATATTGTTACACAGTTACTGAATCTATTGACTGTGGTGTAAGCATATTTCGTTGCTGCATGCGGAGATAAAGCGCTTCCTTTCACAAAGCCCCAGTAATACTAAAGAGTGATGTAGACTGGCAGAGACGTTTGTTTGCAGGTATGTGTTAATATAACCCTGATAACTAGAAGCTGTTAGCAGAAATAGCCAGACATTGTTGAAAAAATATGCTTTGTACACTTTATAGTGTATGTGTGAAAACATTCATGTATTCATATTTACTGTATCAGTGCAAATGGTATCCTTATACGGAAAACAAAATGTACAGTACCTTAGTCCGAACAGAAACGGGGCACATAATAAAATATAAAAAATACAAACACAAGCTACCATCCTACGTTTTGGCAACATATAATTGGAACTTTGCCTCTCGACAATAAAGAGCGTAACAGTAATGCCGATTGATTATCAATTCCAATGGTCTGATACTGTACAGTGGTGCATAAATACTGCACATAAATGTATGAAACACTTTCTGATACAAAAATATTACTCTAATGCAACAAACTTTGCATTTGAACAAAAAATAATCTATAAACACAAAGATAGTCATGATACAATACATAAACAATCAATATATAAAGAAATAAATAATTTATAAACGGGTGCAAACAACAACAGAAACATTTTTGCGATATTGCCTTAACAGGACAAGATTTCCATTTTTTTTTTTTACATTCGGGCTTAGCAGCACAGCTTCCCTTTTCATGGTTTCACAGAGACAGACAGACGGTCCTGGTGTCTGTTGAGTCGTCTGCATATGTTGACGAAACACAGCGCCGTTCTCCACAAGTCATCTGCTGCCTCCGTGTGGACAGTAGTTGCACTTGTTAAATGTCACAGTGTGCTCCTAGCTGATCTTTTGCAGCAGTTTCTCCTCTATCAGTTCAAACTGCACGCTGACGGACATTTCTGCGATGAACTGGTCGCAGCCCTCCTTGGTCACCTGCTTGCAGTATCGCAGGTCGATGTGACAGACGCTCCCACAGCGCTTGAAGTAGGTCAGCGACTGGTCAGTGACCCTGTTACAGACTGCAGGGAGACACCGTGTTAGGAGAGAAGGAACAAATGGAGTATAACGGGTCACCGATACTGACAAAAGATATGACATGCAGGGGTTAATCAACACTCTAGGATGTGAAGCCAAAAGGTTCTCTATGGTGAGAACTGTTTGACACAGAAAGCCAAAATGCATTTGCCCCTCAGCTGCTTCCATAATGGCTCTCTAATTTAATGCTTTTCACATTTGATTGTATTGCTGGAACAAAAGTGTCTGACTTCAATCTTTTTAGCATTTGTGAAAAAAATACAACCTCTCTGAAATAGTTTCAACAGAAACCCTGATCAGATTTATTACAGGATTGTACTATTGGACCGCATTATGTTTACTAAGGAGTGCATATTAACTATTGCACTTAACCACAAAAAAATGCAGGTGTATGGATTGATTTATGTTTTTGAATCCACTAGAGCTGTAGTTGAGAATAAAAATAACTAATGGCAAAGAAAACCGACAATAAAATAATTGCCATTATTTCAAAATCAAAATATTTGAATGCCAAAATGTCAGAAACTGCTTTTTTCAGCATTACAAAAGTAGAGATTTCCTGTTTTTCCTCTGTATATCATATCAAAAATAATATCTTTGGGTTTTGGACTAACAAAACGACTTTGGGATGCTTTACTGGAATTTTTGTTTGTTAACCTTCTATTGCCACAAGGAAGGTGGAAGGTAGTAAACTTCTTGAAAAACTAAGCGCATACTTTGTTTATGCAGGATTGTAAATTATGTTGTTACCTTAGAGGAAAATGTTCCAATTGCATCTATGGAATTGATGTATAGATTTAATGGATCCACTATTCAATTAGGAATGTAGAATTGAGCCACTAGGGGGAGCAAGTCAAATGCAGGCGGACTTACAGCCAACCACGACTGGCTCCTACCTGACAGGTTGATGTCAGTGAGCGAGTCTCTGGTGGTCGTCCCGGCCGCCGTCAGTATGTTGACCGACTGGTCCGTGACGTGGTTGCAGTAGCTGAGGTCCAGCTTGGACAGCGAGGGCATGTAGCGGATGAGGAGGCGCAGAGACGTGTCCGTGATGTCCAGGCCCGCCAGCCGCAGGACCTCCACGTTCCGCAGCTTACTCCTGTTGTCCAACTGACCTGCAAAGTATCGAAAAAAAAGAGGATGAATAAATTATAATTCAGTTTATTTGATTTAGCCTTGCGCAAAAAAGGCAGTCAAAATGGCACATTCTGTTATAGTAAGTTCCTTCTAAAAAAAAAGAAAGAAGCTTTGTACACTTTATAGTGTATGTGTGAAAACATTCATGTATTCATATTTACTGTATCACTGCAAATGGTATCCTTATATGGAAAACAAAATGTACAGTACCTTAGTCCGATCAGAAGCAGGGCACATAATAAATAATATAATAAAATAAAAAATACAAACACAAGCTACCATCCTACAGTTTGTAACTTCATCTTGTGCCATTGACCGCTATTGTTCAAAAACTATTTTCCCAACATCACTGAGCCACTGGGTGAAATGTTCCCTCCTTAAGAGAAACAAGGACATGGTACTTTATTTTGAGTTAATCCCACATAACTGAGGTTACCTACTATAACCCCAGCTTCTATGAGTATTGGCGCAGCCCTCTAAGGCTATCGCTATTGGGTAATCCCCTGCGCACTCGTGCAGCACTGAAACACTTGTAGTCCACGCCCACCCGCAAGGTGGGCCCCACCCTCGGGCCTCCTTCCGGTATAAATAGGAAGGAGGCCCGACAATCTGCTCCCATACAAAATAACTTTTCTTCAGCTATTCGTGGAGCCAGTGGGGCCCAGCACTTAGAGGGCTGCGCCATTTACTCATAGAAGTTGGGGTTACAGTACGTAACCTCACTGGGTCCGCCCGGCACTAGAAGCATAGACACACCTGCTCAATAACACCCCCTGCCTGTTGTGCCATGCGTAATGGCGCATCACCGTCCCTGGAAAATAGCATAACATGAATATTCTCCAAGGGGGACGAAGGCTGGGAACAATACATACCCGCCGCTGTGAGAAGTAGAGACGAAGGTCATACTTTGTCCAGCGACAAAAGAGGGGGAACAGCAGCTCCCTGCGTGCAGACAGGCAGGAGAGCGCCCAGCTGGTTCTCTGACGTCACTCACTCTGACCAGGCACTCCGTACAAAGTGTGTCAGAGAGCATTGAGAGACATCTCTCAAATAAAAATGAATAAATGAACAGGGGGAAGACCAAGATGCAGCAGTGCAAATGTCTTCCACTGACATTCCTCCGTGCAAAGCTGTGGAGGAGGAAATTCCTCTGGTGGAGTGCGCATTGATGTTCTCGGGGGATCCACCCCAGAGGAGACATATGCCTGTGAGTGTGACACAGCCTCACACAGCCAGTATGACAGCCGTTGTGCAGATAGAGGTTGCCCGATCGAGCGTTCTCTATAATGCACAAACAGGCGCTGAGAACGGCGCAAGGCAGTCGTGCGCGCCACATAGCCTAGCAAGACAGCGCGCGCACAGGACAGAGGAGATGAGACGTGGCTTCTTCCTCCGACCTGTAAGGAGGGGGGAATAAGCCAGCCAGGGTGATCACTCTTGACCTAAAAGAGTTGTGATGACCTTAGGCATGAAGCCGGGTTAGGGCGTAAAACAGCTGAACTGCCATCTCCTTGGATCCGGAGGCATGACGGAGCCACAGAGAGAGCAGACAAATCACTCACCCTTCTCGCTGCTATTAGAGCCGAAAGTAGTACTACTTTGGCTAATAACAGTTTAAGGGGAACCTGATCAGGTTCAAATGGGGCTTTGCTTTAGTGCACGTAACACCAAAGCCAAATCCCACTGAGGCGCCAGTGTGCGTGACACATGTCTGAGTCTCCATACTCCTCGCATACAACGGCTGCTGCGTTCTGCGAGCCCCTCTGTTAATTTCGTCGGGAATATACATTGCTCTGATGGAGAGCAACGTGTGTGCGCGCCCAGAACAGCAGCCGCCTGGCTGCGTTCAGAAGCTGCGCAGATCGTACTCCTCCCTGGCGATTGAGGTAGGCTGCTTCCATAGCCATGGTCTGTTGTCTGTGCAAATCAACACATGTCTGATTGTACAGAAACAGGGCGAAGTGCTGGAATACTTCCCAACCGGAGAACAGCTCCAGCACATTTACCTCTGACGCACGGGGTCGATGCGCGGGCGAATGAACCACCTCTGGAGACTCCCAGGGGGATCCCCACGTGACCAGCTGACGTCATGCTGAGCAGCTGTATCACGGAGAGGGCCTGCGGGATGTGACACGTCGGAGAGGGAGCTGTCAGTTCCTCCACTCGCTGCCACGAGAGCCGCGCTCTGCTGGCTGAGTTTAATTCCACTCCCAGATAAATGGATATCTGAGATAGAAGAGGACAGCTCTTCTTCAATTCATTATGAAAACCCAGGCTTTGACAGACATCCTCCCTGGAGCGAGCCAGCAATAGCAGGTCGTCCAGATAAAACCACATCCTGGCGAACACATTCCAGCATCTGTTTGATCGTCAGCATATGTTTCTCTCTTTTTGGAACACTGACAGATCAAGGATGGGTCTCACTCCCCCGTTTTAAAAAAAAACAACCTGATTTTCCTCCCTTTTGGAAAAAATGCCTTTTTCAACAGGAGTTCCTGCAGCGCTGAATGGAGCGCAAGACACTGTTCCTGGGATGACAGGAGTGTTTCTTGTATCCCATGGAACTGCGGGTGGAGAGGCTTCTCTGAGATATGCTGTAATGGTCGTCATGGTGACGAGCCACGCCCTCGCCCTCGCTGCTCGCGGGCGCAGTGTGTGCATGCTACCTGCTGGTCTAGAGTCGCGTACGCATGCTCTGACCCCAGGCAGGATTCGCATACTGCTGTTATCTCTGCTGGTCATAACTCATTATGAACCCAGAGCCACATGAGGAACAATCTCTCACACAATTGTTACTCATGTTTACTCTGCAATTGAAGTGTCTCTTGTGCTTCAGTAACGGTGTGCTGAAGAAAAGAGGGAGCAGATTGTCGGGCCTCCTTCGTATTTATACCGGAAGGGAGCCCGAGGGTGGGGCCCACCTTGCGGGTGGGCGTGGACTACAAGTGTTTCAGTGCTGCGCGGGTGCGCAGGGGATTACCCAATAGCAATAGCCTTAGAGGGCGAAGCCATATACGAAATAGAACCAGAATGCTATCATCACTAGAGGACCAATATAGTAATAATCCACAGCTAAAAATAGTCGGAAATACACGCAGCGCTTTTCCTATGTGAGTAACTTTGGCAAAAAAACTGCAGAGCTTCTACTGACATTTTAAATATAAATGTAATGCGTATATTCACTCTGAATAATTGTCATACTACTCCCTCTTGTTTTTAGCCACTGAAGCCTCTGAAAAGACTAATAACTATCAAGACAATCTTTTAAATGTTTCATGAGATAAACATTTCTTAAATTATTCCAACAAATAGTTTGACAGTAGTTCAACCAATATATATATTAAAACATGTTCAGTCTTTAATAGTTGATACCAACAAATCTAACTCTAAATCTGCATAGATGTCTTAATTCTTTGTAATACAATTCTCTTGTGTTGCTTTCTCACATAAATAAGACTATGTAAAGAAATATGCTACATCACATTTTTCCATGTGTCTATTCTTTGTATGCATGTAAGGGGTTCTGTCAGAATAACTGTTTTCCACAGTGTGTGTGAAGGCAGGCTGGTACCTGGTCTGTTATCTGTAGGAGGAGACAGCAGGTCCCTCATCTGGGCGTCTTTCAGTCCCTCGACCCACTGAACATCCAGGGTCCGCAGGAGAGGACAGCTGGAGGTGCAGAGGGCAGAGACCGCCACCCAGGAGCACCCTGACAGCAGGAGCACCCGCAGACCTGACGGGACAGGAGGACAAACAGGACCTCAGGTTAGACACTTTTTACAATAAGGCAGGAAATACACAACGCTGGAATCAGGATGGTCAGCAAAGCCAATATTGATGATGTTTTAAGCTAAATCTACCGATAGTGGATCCTGTTTGAAATTGGCGATGTCAAATATTTATGATCTTATATCCTGTGGTGTGTGAGGAAGGATAATTATTGTTACATGTCATAGTGTGGGGTCTCTCTCATTTTCAACATTTGTTAGGGATTTGCAGAACAAGTATTGAAGGGTCCGCCTGCCTACTACTACTAAGCTACAATGCAATGCTTTTCTGTAAGTGTCACAAAGTCTCTTCTATGTGGCCACAGGAAGCTTCCCTGCAAACTAAATATAATGCAGACTCACATTCAGTCTGTTGAAGAAGGTGACCTATTTTTCAGCTTCTCCCGTCCCCAGAGTTTTAGTTAAACTGAGCTCACACAATACACTCACACACACAGTGAGTACTTTTATCCAATTAGCTGACTGATCCAGCAGAGACATTTAGAAGAAAAAAAGAAATCTTTATTCAGGAGTCTCTGGGGATATCATTATCCAGTTGGAGGAGCCATATGGTCACATTTGGGAATTTAACTAAAAACTGCCCATGCAACGTAAACATATACTTTTTTCATCAATTCTATGCAGACTACATCAGTGAAAATTGGTGAGTAAGAACATACTTATACTGAAAGTTTATAAAAATGTAATGGTTTCCTCATATCTGTAAATTGGGAATCTGGGGACCTACTGTATAATTGGGAACAATTACTGCGTGAGCTAATGCATAAGGGTTGGTTAGGTTGAATTTAGTTAATTATACTTTTCTTCTGGAACCAACCAAACTCATATAATTATGTAGTGAGATGAAATGTCAAAGGCCATCAGATCTTACTCATGTATAATGCATCAGTGGTTTTGATCACCCATCTGTTTCTTGTGGTATTTAAAAACACACCAAGAGCCCGCTCATCTTCCTCCAAAATGGTCTGATTTATTGCCTTTTCATTCAAACTCAAACCTAATGCATTGTTTTGCTGGTTGAATGTATTTACCTGGCAGTCTGTTGATGAGCCAGCTGAGTTGTTTTTTGGAGATGTTGGTCCAGCTGAGGTCCAGAGCCACCGGCTGCCTGCGGATGATCCCGCTCAGCATGAGAGGAGTGATGGACTTACACCGGTTCAGATTGATGTGCTTCCAGAGCCTCTTATCGCAGCACCTGGTGAGAAACACAGCAGATATCTAAAGGGGCCCTATCATGCACATTGTTTCAGGTTCATACTTGTGTTCCTACCGAGACATTTCTCCATGCTTTAATGTTCAAAAAGTTCTTTATTTTTCTCATACTGCCTGTGCTGCAGCGTCTCTTTTCACCTTCTGTCTAAAACCAGAGCCAAGTCTGCTCTGATTGGTTAGCTGGCCGGCTCTATTGTGATTGGTTAACCACTTAGAGATGTCCCGTCCGTACAATGTATCAAAAGCGATAGCCAATAGAAGCGCGAGCATAACATAGTGCTATCACTATGTTCCAAAAGTAAACAAAGGAGTCCAATTAAGGCGTTCAAGCAAATTTGACCATTTACGTGCACAAAAACCTATATAACGTAAAGGAAAGGGAAAACCCTCTTATAGAGCCTCTTCAATGTAGAATGAACTGTGGGATACTGTACTTGTGTTAAAACTACAAAGGGCATCTGAAACTCACCATCTGTTCCACGTCCTGCAGACACGCATGCACACACAGAGATCTCTGTGAGTCAAGTGACTGAAAACCGTCATCCACATCTCCCTGCGCATCACGTGTGTTTCTCCGTCGTTCAGCGAGAGTCTGTCCGGCGGGGGGCTGATGGGAGGAGGACGGATCACATGGCGCTCCATTTGGATGCATTTTGGCGGGGACCTGCAGGGGAGTGGTCGGGGGCATATCGGTGTAATCTGGGTGCCCCTGTTCCATCCGAGCGGCGAGTAACCATGCGTCGTGTCGCTCCCCTCTCGCCCCCTGTGTGGCAGCCAGTCCCCCAGATCACTGCCACCGTTATTAAGAGGCCATCTTGGCTTTTGCTCGTCCACCTCGTTCTCAGGCTCGGTTTTTACAGGCCTGTGGTTTTGATTGGCCAGACTGTCCTCGGTTTTCAGTGGCCGCCTGTTTTGATTGGTCAAACCCTCCTCCATTTTAAGGGCCCTGCGGCTCTGATTAGTGGAAGAGTCCTCTGTTTTTAACGGTTTGCGATTCTGATTGGTCATTGAGTCCTCTTTCTTGAGTTGTCGTCGGTTGTGATTGGCTGAGCCGTCCTCTGTCTTCACCGAGCCGTGGTTCTGGTCTGCTGCCTTGGGAGTCTCCTGTTTGAACTCTTTGCTCAGCTCCTTGTTGGGGAGCCGTCGTCTCTGATGGCGAGCCTTCAGCTGAGCATCTCCTGAGTCGCTGCTCGGTCCCGCTCTGGGAGAGTTTGTGGTTTGTTCACTTTCTCTGATGGCAGAGGTTCTTATCAGGGGACTTAATAAGACCTTGGCTTTGTCCTCTGCACTGCAGTCTCTCTCTTTTTTCACTGTTTCCTCTCCCTCCTCATCTTCTTCTTGGTCCTCGTCGTCATACTCTTTTTTCCCCTTTAACTGAATCCTTTCCAAAGAAAATCTATCTCCTTCGTGATCTACCTGATCATCTTCTTCATCATGATCATTCTCGGTCTTGATGTGCCGCTTGGGAGTCACAGGGTCATCCGGTTTTGAGAGTTTCTTCTAACAAAGAGTATAAACACAGATCAGTTACAGTTAAGACTTTCATTTGTTTAGTAGTGTATTCAACAGATAAGGGTCTTGCCTTCTTTTTTACAATGACAGGTTCATCATTGGTGTCAAAAAGTTTCCTCTTTTTCCTCAGTGGGTTGTCCTCAATCCTCGGCCGGGGCGTACCATCCAGAGACAGCAAGGGGGGGCGTTTCTTCTGTGGCTCGTCATCTTTCCTCTTAGGGACTTCCTCCCGCTCTGCCTTTCTCTTAAGAGCAGATGTGGCAGTCAGAGCAGTCACAGTTGCTGTTGCGACTGTCGGCGAGTCAGGTTCGTCTTTTGAATCCCGGTTTAACCGCGGCTCCTTCAGTAGAGAGCCAGGAAGGTTGGACGCGTACTTAAATCCTGGCCCCCTTTTTTGCTTTGAGGCCAACAGGTTAGAAAAACAAACACAACTTTATTTCTCTGGTTCTGAGTTTCTGAGTCAACTGATTAATCATCTAAAGATGCAGACACATACAGAATGAGGTCCATAAAGACACTTACTTTCCCTGTCTTCCCAGCATGGTTGCACTTTGGGCACTCCCAGCAGTTGGGCAATTCATCATTGACTACTCCGTTTGAATCTTTTACCTGAGGAAAGGAGCACATAGAGGAACAGATTTAATTGTGCTTTTGTGACGCATGATGTGACCTATTTTAACTCAAAAATCTAAAGAAAAGTAATATCTTATTTCTGTAACACAATGAAGTTGTGGACCAATTGTGTGGTTTGTGGTTATCAAACATACATTTGAAGTTGACCATCAAGTTTTTTTCAAAGATGCACATGTGGGTTTGGCTGCATCAATATCAACATATCAGCTACACCTGCTCTATCCGTCTGATATTATTGAGTACATACTAATGTTGACTAATTTACCTTAAGACAGTTAGGATGAACAATCTCATTGCAGATGGAGCACTCCATGAGCATGAGGTTAAACTTCTCCTCCTCTTCCTCCACTGTGTCCTCTTTCCCTGCCTCTCCACAGACGAGACACACAGCGGTGTGGGGCAGGACAGGCTGCAGACAAACACAAAACAAGAGGCTTGAAGGTAAGGCTGTTGCTTAAAACGTATATTCTTTCAGTCACAACTGTGATTGATGAACTAGTAAACCCACACCTCCTCACAATACTGTCTTCTACTCATTCAAAGTTTGATTACAATGTTGAGCTCAAGTGAGTGAGTAACCATCTGCAATGTTTTTGTACATGCTACTTGTGCATTAAGGATGAGATGTATTTTGTTGTTGCTTTTCTCTTGATTTAATCCCTTTTTACTCTTCCACAAATCATTGAAAGTCATGTATTTCATACTTAATTCTATATGCATTATTGTATTCATTTAATGCATTATGTCATTACCATCTTCCAACTTGTTTGTTTATTTAGCAAACAAACTAGTGGCCAACATATGGGCTAATTTGGCACTCCAGGTTGCGATGAAGTGTGGCATATACTCAGTCTGACTACTGCTCTGAAGCAGTATTAGGGTAAGTGAACATCCAGAGCGGGTTAAGCATATTGGCATATCTTAAAAGTGGGACACAGTTGCTAAAGAGCTTTGGACCGCAACTGTGGTTTATTGGGACATATGCCAAGTCCTTTCACTCCCTTGTTTATCATGGTCTATCATCCAAAATGAATCTTTGTCTGTATGCAGTATGATGCAGAAACAATCAAATATTTATTTTATTAATCCATTCTCCCTATGTGTCTCTGTCCATGGTGCTGAAACATTATGACATCATCTTTGTGTCTCTCTCCCTGGAACACTACTACAGCTGTTACTACTACTACTTACCTTGTTAGATTATATATTAATGGGGTCTACTCGCACATGGCTCACAAGATAGAGGTTGCAACTAGGGGGCGGATTGACCCTGAATAAGGAGACCATCACATACCATCCTACCCTTTGGATATGCAAGCCATACTAAACAGCAGCTGGCTTGCAGGACTTTCAAAGGAATCAGTCTGACAGTAGCAATGAAAAGGCTTCTTTAAATGTAAGAGATGGCATCCGGGGGACTGGCAGCTCAAGAGGGTCAACTACTCTGCTTGTGGGTTTGTAATCCACCTTTGCGCTCTTTCGACCCTAATCAAATACCCAATTTGGCCTGATGTGAAGAAGAGCTTTGTTGACTATCCACACCTTCAAAAGGGAGTTACAGAAAAGGCATGAGTAGTACTACTGGTGCAGGGTTAGTCGCTCTTTACAGGGATGCGTAGTTTCAGTGTAGTTTGTACAGAGGACAGAGTGTTGATGCAACACATAAAGAGAGACAGTGAAGAGTTTCAAGTCATCAAAGAGAGAACAGATCTCTTTTTCTCTCTACCTGTGCATATGTGCCTGTAATATCTGTTGACATATTAACATTTATGTCACAAAATATTAAGGTTGTCTGATGTTTCCTGTATCACTGTAGTAAAGAGATATCATACCGACATGAAAAAAGTTATTTTCGTCTAATCTGACAAATATGCGCATTTCACAGAATGTCAAACACTTCCTTTAACATGATGTTTTTGAATGGACTTACTGCAATGCACTGCCTCATGATGCAGGACTGTTTCATGCGGCCCGGCCCACCAAACTTCTTCATGTCTTTACAGAAGTGGCACTCTCCACACTCCGTCCGCAGGCATGCCTCACACTTCCGGCAGCGCGTCCGCCTCCTCCTGGCGCCAGATGTTCCCCGACACGCTGACAGCTTGACTGCTGAGGCAGGAGAAGCTGCCATCTTAGGTTTCGGCCGGTTGGGAGGCCGGGGCTGAAGGATAAAGAGGATACAGTGTCAGGTAACTTAAATAACAAGGCAACAAATACTTAATAAACAGGCGTCTATAAATAAGTTTGCTGATAAAGGATACATTTATGATTTTACAAAATATTGAGCAATAAGAAGATGCTACAGTCAAAATATGCTACTTGAATATAGGTGTGTGTCATTTAAACAGTGATGTTTTCATGTGGTAATAGTGTGAAGTGGATTTTAAGTATGGATGTGTCAAGACCCTTAAAGGATGCTTTATAATCAGCATCTCAGAATATACTAAATGGTCAACAAACTATTATCAATTTGACACAATAATGTTATTGAACCAAATTTCCAATTTGAGTAAATAAGTAAAAAAAAAAAAGAAGGAAATTAAGAGCTTCTCAATTCATTGTTTTGACTTGCATTTCATTTAAAATGGTCATAGCAGGGCTCAATAATATGAACTTACAATCATGTTGTGTAATACGAAAAAAATATCTGAGCATTCTATTAAATTCAACAGGGGTCAGTGACATGTGGATGTAGGCGGTAGGACCTAAACCTTTCTTGGCTCTGGGTCAATAGTTTCAAACACAGTGGAATCAATATATGCAAATGCACACAATACATACTGTATTATCCACAAACACAAATCTGGTCACACTGTGTACAACCATACCATTTTTCACGGCTGTTAAAGCACAGGCTCGTGGAAACAAACACATCGAGAATGTCCCTGGAGGCATCTTTCCAAATGTAGCACTTCACTTGCTTGCATGTTCCTACTTCAAAGAGAAACTGCACTTATGGCTACATTTCACACATGGATCACGAGGAGCCTTTCTTCTGTGTTAGAGGGCGTGCAGACTGATTTATAACAGTACACATGTAATCTGCTCTATTTAATAGAACTGGGTAATGGAGATGAGATGCCTTTGATCTCCAACATTATTGTTCCAGTGTTAAATATATTCTGCTCCTTCTCAGGCTCAGAGCCCAACCACAACAATGTATTCTGAACATGAAAACCACATCCGTCAAGCGTGCCATGTGAGAAGATATGTGGCAATGTGTGAGATGAAATAAACAAAGAAGACGGAGTGCAAAAAAACACTGCAGCTCTTGGAGAGGAAGATCTGATTTCTTTAGTTACATCGGCAGTGCAGATTCTCCTAGCGTCAGCATAGCAACAGCCACGTCCCATTCCCTAACAGTACAGTCTATGACACACAGACGTGTAACCAATAAGAGCTGTAATGAGACTCTCCACCAGAAAATAGAAAGAAGGCTCAATTTGAGCCATATTACTGTAATTTATTCTAACAATAGCCATGAAATAGACTGAAATAGACAGTCAGATATGTGGTAACCAGACAGGATTAGAGTGAGATATTTGAGGTGGGGGGGGGGGGCTAATGCAGTCTGCTGTTTTGGGGGTATTCGGAGGGATTATAGGCGAAACACGCTGCACTGAGACTATATCCCAGAAAAACACACAGTGCCGTTTTTAAACCCCATGATGTGAGTCAACAGGGCAGAGTTATGATCCATTTACTGATGTCAGATCACGTTAAATAACCGGTAGCTGTGGTATGTTGTGTCTAATTACACGTGTAACTGCAGGTGTAACAATAACATGAAAGGATACTTCAGAAAGATGTCCATATTGTCCCCTAAATCCCCTCTAACCCCCCCTTCTGTCTGTACAGTCAGTGATCTCTGAAGCAGACATGCCTCTGATGCTCGGAATGTAATGGCAGGAGAGGTTGACAACAACACTGTCAAATGAATAAACTGCCTCTCACTCAGTCTCAGGGATTTTAGTATTTTAAAAACACATACCCGTGTCCTCGGTACAGGGACAGCAGAAGTAACCACCACAAGTATCCTTGCCTTTTCAAAGCTTATTCAGCTGGGACACATTATGAGAAGCAGACTTTATTGTTCATTGACACACACAGCCTTGGAGCCTTGTAAGCTACTGTGGAGAAGAGTGGAAATCAATTACTGTGGATATACTTAACATCAACTTAAACACACATTGACGACAGTGCATGCTGTGCACAGACTGCAGGAACCACAACGCATGTGTTTTCCTCAAAAGCAGGAGGAATTCAAAGCAGATACACACAACACTGTGCATACCATAAATAGACATGAACACCAGCCAATTTCTATGTTTCTTAAATAACTGTTAGTAAAATCCATGATTTCTCTCTTCTTCATCTCTAGGAATAAAACGTGTTAACAATTAACTTGGCAAAAAAATGGGTTCACAAGTTCTGCAAGGGATTAGTTTCCTGTTGAGCTTTAGTGGTAGCATATGTTGTGAAGCTGATGCTGCACAAAAAACACAGCTCTAGTACACAGTAGTGTGTAGCCAAGATTTTATAAATGGCAAAAGGAAAGAGGAACAAGTCTTATAACTCTAATAAAACCTCTGGAGTGGATAGTTGCTGATGACTGTATAGTAAACAACAGCAACTGGTCTGGTGCTAGATGCTGAACTGTGACTTTTGGACTAGACATCTAAAATACACAATCTAAAAAAAACGTTTTTCAGCCTGCTGTGGACATGTTCAGATGGCTGTGGAACAAAAAAAAGTGCATTTTACATGACAAAATAGATTAAATGTGTTGTTATAAAGCAAAAAATAAATCTTTAGTTTGAGGTAAATGTTTTTAACATCCATATGCAGCCGCTTAATTAACATGGGGGTTGGTTAATAAGAAATATTCTAATTTACAAAACACATTTCTCGCTGTGTAAGCAAGTCTCATCTTAGATTATCCCAAACCATATTGAATATTCCTTTCGTAACGACTGCTTTCTCAATAACACATAACCATTTGTGGGTCACACATCTTCCAACATGCATATCTGGTGTTTTGACAATCCAACCATGAAAGATTAATCTCCATCTACATGCATTTCCATTCCTCTGCTTCTCTGCTTTGAAACAGCCAATAGCAGCCCTGAGGCTCTGAGCTATATAAACACAGCCTGCTCCTGCTGCTGGTTTCACCTGACAAAAACACACAAGCATGCACACACACGCAAGCGGCAAACGCATCTAAAAATAAACAAAGGGGCAACAATCAAAGACCAAGCATTAGAATAAATCAATGCATTTCTCTCCAGGTAGCTTTTTTCCCCCTCGCTGCCCTGTGATGCTGCTCACTGCTCTGTCTGGCAGCAGCATTCCTCTGGTGGCCTCTCTGTAACAGCCTGCAGGGGTTTGGTGTGCTAACCTGCTCAGAGTCTGAGTCGTAGTCCTCATCGTCAGCGCTCAGCGACATGGCCATGGCTGCTTTTCACGCACTGTCCAGCTCACAGCAAACTGACATGGCTGCAGTCTCCTCCTCCTTCTACTCGTGCTGCTGCTGTCTGGCCTACAGCCCACCCTCCTACTCTAAAGCTCCACAATACCACAAACAGATGTAGGAAACATAGACAAGCCTGCCTCATTAATATGGATATACTCCCTGAAAAAAGGGGAGGGGTGTTTGGGAGCGCGGAGCCAATGGGAGGCTGCTGTGCATCAGAATATGTACTGTGGCTGTGTGCCTGAATCCAATGAGGAGAGAACATGCAAAGAAGGTGCTGTCATATTCATGATGGGAATAACAGGGAGGGGAGAGCAGGCTCCGCAGCCAATGGAGCCAGATGGCATCTCATTACAAAAGGCAAACACAAAGAGGCCCCAACACCAGCAGCTGGCCTCTAGAGGGACGGGGGGGGGGGGCCAGAGGGGCAATAAAACCAACACAAATCACCTCCGCACATTAAATACAACACATCCCATCCAGCCAACTACTGTTGAGGTATGCTACTCACGTCATGCATATGTTTAAAAAATATATCATTAATGAATATGTGTATGTAATTATGAAAATAATAAAAAATAAAGAACAGATAACCTCAATATTGTGGAGCGTACACACATGCTTTAATAAATAAAATGTACTTTTTATGTATGTTATTTATTTGCCTGAGCATTGTTTTTTTCCACCAACATTATATGTTCAAGTTTTAGCATAAAAGCCTGGATTTGTGCCCTATTAGGGCCTCCGGCTCAGATCAAAACAACATGAAATCAAAGATTATTTTACATAAACATTAGTGTTTACAGCTATTTAAGTATAAAAAGATCACTATATCACATGGACTATGTGCGTGCGTGTGTGCGTGCGTGTGCTTGATTGCAGGTGCCAATCTGTTGTCATCCCAATCAGGGCTTTAAATACTCAGCTACAAATCCACCAAGCTGTCAGATTGTAGATTGTGTTACACAGTTTGTTGAATGTTCTTGCCGATTACTAAATACTCCATTAGTTTATTTTGGTTTCTAACTACTGTTTCCTGATCCTACAGTCATCCTGCCTGTCTCCTGTCTCCTTCCCCTCCTGGTAAAAAAAACTCTGCATTCCTGTCTACCCTCTCCACCTGGACCACACTCCAAAAACCTTTCAGGTGAAAAGGTCTGAACCTTTAATGCTCTCTCACTTTACATAATATTACGGTGATTGTTCTTTGGTATTGTTTGATCAACTCAAATGTGTGTATCGAGTGTCCATTAACTTTATTTAATAGGCCTAAATAAAGATTACAAAGAAGTACGCAAAAACAATCAGAAAGTCTCAGAGTGCAGCTGACATATTCTTACCTTTATGGTTTTCTTGGGCCAGTACACCACAGGAACCCCAGTGATGGCTAATTTTGGGTCGTCATCGGCATGTTCTTTTAAGAGAACCTAGACAACCACAAAGAAGAAACCTAAATTAAAGGACGACTCGGCTTAAAGTAGTACATATACTCAGAGATGAAAAAGGTCATTAAACAAGAAAACTCACAAATTTAGAGAAAGAAAAATAAACTTAAATATTCAGTGAATGAACTTTATGAGTTTTTTGTCAATGGAGCAAATTGCCAGACTTTTTAAAGTTGGACCAACCTCATCACACCCTAATTGACCCTAATACACTTTTGTTTTCATGTGATATGAACAGTATACATTGTGCAAATTACTGTGTCCTCTTTTTGTTTCCTACCTTCATGTCTTCCAGCAGGGCTTGTGGGTTCTCTATTCCCTCTGGAACACATTTCTTATTTTCAGGGAGCGACTCCAGCTTCTCAACCAGTTTCCTGAGTCCGCTCAGTTCGAACTCTGTCAAATGTGTCCATTTAGTCACAGACTCCTCGGCTGGGGAGTCAGAGGGGGTTTGGGGGAACTCTAGAGAGGTGGAGCCGGGGTTACAGCTGTCCTCAGAGTCCACAGATAAAACGGCTTTGAGGTGCTGGCCCCTCCGGTTGTCAGGAGAGATGGGTCCGTCCTGAGCGCCTCTCTCTGGTTTCTCACCATCCCTGACCTGAGTCTCACATGAGTCCTCGTTCAGGTCCTGGATCCTGGAGTCAGAGGAGGGGCTCTCTGTGTTGACCTTTGTCTCGTAATCTAGCAGGAAATACAAGATAAGTTTATCGGTTTTGGAGTATGGTGATCTGCTTTATGAATGCCTCTGACCAGTGCCTAAAGAGTTTGGATACTGTGTACCATTGTGCATTACGTTTTATTACTGGATATGGATATCGTGTACACCACTGCACTTTGTATGCTGCTGCTAATTGGCCATCTTTATCTGCACGCAGACTTCCCCATTGGTTGGGTTTTATATACAAATCACTGCTTGGGCTGGTTCCCTCTTATATTTGCACATATGTAAAAAACAAAGTCTATATGGCCTACGCTCCCAATATTTTATTCAGATGCTGGTTCCTAAAGTGAGAAGGTAAAAAAGCGTTTAAATATGCTGCCCCTTCTGCCTGGAATAATGTACAGAAGGAGCTGAAACTGTCAGATTTGATCACTATGGCGGAGTTCAAGTCCATATTAAAGGACAGAGAACAAGAATCCATTGGTCGATGTGATTGCTCGTATATCCCATAATTGAAGTCGTTTCTTTTATTTTGCATATTGACTTGTTAATGTGCCATTTTATTTGTGTTTTATGACCACTGTATTCGTGTGCCTCTATTGTTTTGTGTTTATTTGTTGTAACTTTGTTCATGCTGCCCTCTTGGCCAGGTCTCTCTTGAAAAAGAGATTTTAATCTCAATGAGACTTTTACCTGGTTAAATAAAGGATATATATATATATATATATATATATAAGATGCATTGTCAGAGAATCATTGTATCTGGAAAAATTAGTTGTATGATGAAGCAAGACACTGAAACGGCATTCATGACATGCCCCCTCTTGGGTATTTCCAATAGTAATGAGAAGTTACACTACTTGATCTCACTCACCAGTTGGTACAGGCTCTTTGCAGACCTCCCGAGATAAATAGGAACGTTTTGTGAGGCAGTGCAGATATCTCTCCAGGACATACCAGCAAATCTCATTGTAGAAGGGAAAACGGAATTTCGAATTAACCTGAAAATAGAGACAAAAATATTCAGTAAGTTTAAAAACAATGAATATTAACATGTATTTTTTGTATTGATTTTGCCAATGTTAAACAGTGTTTCGTCAAACTATTGTAGTACACAGTCAGTGACCCCTTTCAGCCCATTTTCTGTCTGGAGCTACCAAACATCTTCCAACACACAAATAATTGCTTTTCGGCACACACATATCTTCCTGGGTTTTCAATTTAGATTTTGTGTCACTCACAAATATTTCACCCTTGACTCTTTACCCTTATCTCTTTTTCAATCTCAACCGTTTCCTCCTCCATCACAACTTTTATTCTCCTGTCTATATCTATGAACTCTTCCCCTGCTTCTCAGAGAGATAGATTTATCCTGGTAGAGATCACTTTATAATTCGATGCAGGCCACAGTTCAGCTACACAATGGAGAATGCAGCCAGACTCCTACCTTAGTCCTATTCTCTATCTCATGGATGGTAAGCTGCATAGGAATGTTGAAGCTGTGCAGAATATTGCCTCCAAACACCAGTGAGTCCTCTGGAGTGTAGACAGCATGGATCCACCCTTATTAACAGAAATAACAAAAGAGATAAGGAACACACAGGATCCATGCAAATATGGTATTCAGGTCAAGTTTGGCATCACTGTCCATTGAAGGGCAGCTAATCTTTCCTGCTGACTTCTTCAAAACCACCATGCCAACACACCAGATGGGATGAAGAAGGTGTATCCTTGCTTAAGCTCCACTCTCTGGCATCCGTCAGCTCGGTCTCCCAGGAAGATATCACTCTGCTTGCCTGACAGGACCCAGTCCTCATAAAGGGCAAGGTTATGAGGGGTCGGAGGCACAAGCCAAAACACCTGAGGAGAAGCAGAGTGTGTTTTATTTTGAGGTTTAGCTATCCACTCTGACCAGAAATACCTGTCCTTCATTTCTCCTCTTATTGTCCAAATGAAAGGTAAACCAATAAATGAATATATGTTGGAAAAAAAATTGATATTGTATAGTAAAGAACCCCCATTTCCTCCAGAAAAAAAAGATCAAATTAAAACTTAGCCTTGTATTGAAAAAAGAAGATCCCGTAGGTCATCATAAAGTAAAACAAACAATGACTTAGTACCACAAATAAAGACAAAGAATCTTGAATTAATTACTTAGTATGGCATAAATGTCTCTGTATCTGAACATCATACATGTTTCCAAAAGAATAACCTAGTATATTTTAATACCAAGTCCTTATTTATTATATATTCATATATAAGAGATGGAAATGAACGTACTTTTTGTCCTTTGAATACGTGATACCAAACAGAGGTTCCACCGAAATCAATGTGGAAGTCTGTATAGCAGCCCTTTACACTCATCAAACAATACCTATAGCAGAAAAAGAGATAACCATAATTAAATACAATTACATTTTACAAGACAAGTCGATTGTTAAAGTTAGATATGTAAAACAGATCTAAATATGAAAAATAAAGCTGATTGATTGATTGATTGAAAAGTTTATTAACAGCTTGTATATTGGGTACAGTACAGTACAGCTCAAAACATACAATTGTTAAGGGGATGCAGACCAGAGAAAGACTTTCGTCAGCTCAACCAATTAGAAAGCATCAGGTGTGTTTAACTGAAATCTACAGCTACTAATGGAAAACACCAATAGAAATCACTCACAAGAGCACTAGAGTAGAGTAAATGGTTCCCAATGGGACATCGCTCCTCTGGAAATTAATTAAGGAATGATCAGCACTCCAAGACATAAATGAATCAGTAATTTAGCTTAATCTGAGCCACTCTTCTTTATTTTTTCCATAACGGTGTGTATATAAAAAAAAAACATGTCATTCATCGGACAAATTATTGTTTTTAAATGGAGAGCTCATAAACAGCGGAAAACAAGTCAAAAATCACCCAGCTAATGTAAAACTCAGCCTGATAGGGTACCGAATGGTAACATTATGCTAGATAGCTCTGCTTGAAAGCTACAGCGACCAAAAACACGTTTCCTATTATTGCATCAAGATAAACAGCCTTCAGAATTTTTGGGTGCTTTATTTAAATCATAATTTAGAATTTATAAATATCAACATAATTGATAAAAGTCAGAATAGGTATAAAGGGGTACACAATTGGGTAAATGTCTCTGTTTAATTGCATGAAATGTAAGGAACTTAGGAAAAAATAAGCTTTTGACTCTTGGTATGTACAAATGCTGACAGCTGATTGGCTGAGAGGTGTCTGCCCAGTCACACTACAGCTGTTTTAAAACCACCATCTTCCACTGTGGAAAACTCTGCTGCCTAGCAACAATCAGGAGCACTTACAGGAGACGGATAGCAGCGACTGTATGAAGCACTCTACAATAATAGAGCGATACATGAGACATTCAGATGGGGGGAGAAATCACATTTACTGCCAAGGAGCCATTTTCTTGAAGTATTTTCTGTGAATTGGTTTAGATGTTTGTTTTACTCATAGTTCAGGAGAGGTTTTTGTGAAGACAGAAACACAATGAAGTAAAGTCATACCTTTGCACTTTAGGGTACTTCATGTCTGAGATTACATTGGTGGCTTCTGTTTGGCTCTGTTTCAGATCAGGGGGCCACGTGTTGTCCACCCAGTCCACTTGATCCACCTGAGTGAGCAAAACTGCACCTTTAACCATCAATCACATCGTACAATCTTGAAATACAAGCCCCAGATTTGTGTGACCTTTTATAATATTATACAGAGCGTGTTATATTACCACTGTGGGCCGCTTGATGAGGTTTTCCAGCTTAGTGTGGCTGAACTCTAAGCTGATGACGTTGAAGAGTTTTTCCCGCTCTTCCTCTGGTGTCTCATAATAACGCACAAACTGAGCCATGCTCATCTCAGAGCCTTTCTGAGTGCTCACATCCATCACGTCCACGGAGCGCCGACTGCCTGCAACAACACCCAGGACACCCATAACCTTTGAGCACTTCCACTGTCAATAACATCTGTCTATATGTGTCCACAGTCTTGCATGGTTTATGAGATTTATACGGACAATGTATATCGTTGACGACATGTCACAGATCTCAGATATCATGAATAAGTGGCTCCTAATTCATGTAATTCGTCATCTTGCCCACTAGATGGCGCAACTAAGCCCCAATCATGTTCATTTCTTTCAGGCTTCATTTTATATAGCTAAGCTGTGTATTAATAAAGAAGAACATTGCAATATGAAAAATGTCACATTATCTTATCTTTACATAAAATAAGATAATTAATATATTAAATACCTCTGAATTCCCTTTATTCTTTAAAGTCCGACCTGCCAATTACATGTTTCCTTCTTTCTAAAAAAAACTATAGTAGACAGCATACAAAACATTTATATAACTTTTTATTTTATAGAAAATTAAAGTTTAAACTAAAGCTTTGACTATCAAAAACATTTCCTCTTACTTTCCTATTCCAAATATGCATACATTTTATTTTGTGAGTGTTTGTGTATATAGCGTATACTTACCAACTAATCCTTTAATTTCACTGACTGTAAATTCTGGATCCGGCATTCTATGAAAAAGATAAATGTATGTCAATCAGTTAATGAGCTAAGTCCTGCAATTGATTAAATACATAAATATACATAAAAAAAGATAAAGATTTAAAGTTTTATGTAAGCTGATATTCCAGATAAATGTCTTTCTCACCTGATCCCAAGCCCATCTTTCTCTTTAAAAATGAGTGGGGTCCTGAGAGCGTCCTTTTGCACATATTCATAAGAGAAGTCTGCATTGGAAAAAAGTATTTAAAGTAAAACACACGTATGTTGGTTAAGACGTGCATATTTCCTGCCATATTACAGCTAAATATTAAAAAAACAAAGAGTAACAATAGATTATAATAAAAAATGCTTTGTGCTATATTACCTTTACCCTCCATGCAGAGCACAAATGAGGCGCTGTAACTGTCACTGACCAGCTTTTCCTCCACACTGAAACCTCTGATGTTTGCAATTTCTTCCACATCGGACAGATCCTCGTTTTCATCGTACATCCTCCGGCAGATGGAGCGCTGCCATTGGAAACAGAGTGAGGATGTACATGACACAACTAACACAGCAGACTCTTTCTGTGGTAACTCCCCCCTGTCTCTATAATAAACCACCATACATCATGGTTGAACATTTATTTAATCCAGGGTCAGCTTTTATTTGCCAGGTATTAGGACACACGGAATTTGTGCACTGTTGTTTAACAACTGAATAGTAATAAAGTAAATATAAACATTGAGCTACTATTGAATTATGTATATATTTGCGATAAAAACTTAAACTGTAATAAGGGGTCATATTCCCTTTTTTAATATGTATTAAAGACGCTTTTTTTCCCTTCTAAAATGTGACGTCAAGCACGATAACCATAACCGTTTAACGACACTTGTCCGGGGAAAAGACAGCAGTTGGTACGTTATTCCACAACATACATCTATAATGTTTACAATATTTCACTGTTATAGATGCTGTATTATCTTGTACGCTGATCTATTACAAATATACAATAAATTGTAAGGTCTAAAATGCGGGAGAACTATCTTTTCCTCCTCATTGCCTCTAACTTGTGACTTGATGCATCCCATCGTTTACAAACGTTAGCTTAGCTCACTAATTAGCTTGCTGCCAATCTCACTCCCCAAGATAACGATGGTACACACCAGCCTGCGTCCGGATTCGGCACACGTTTCCACGGCCTGGGCCATATTCTCTTATCAGTGTGATCCAGTCACTCGGTTTCGGAAATGCATCTTCTTCATGCGTAGTGAAGTTAGAGAAACACTTAGCACGCTTTTTCAGGTTCAAAACAAGGGAACCATGTTTTTGTGTGTTACGTCACCGCCAGGAACCAAAACATTGTTGGACAACGTCACGGCGTGTTAGTAGTTCACAGCTTTACAGGCAGCTGGGGTGACAAACAAATAAGAAACACTATGTATCACATCAGATACATCACTGGTTGTTTCTGGCTTAAATCAAATATATATTTTAACCACTACTATTGGACAGTTTAATCTTCTACCAGCTTTAAATAGATAACGTATCTAGTTTATAATCGAAAAAGCATCTATTATTCTATTTTCAGTCATTCTGTAATAATTCATATGCATGGTGTGTGTCACGTGGGCTGCAGAAGGAGTTATTTTAAATTGACAAAAACATAATATCTGACAATAACTACACATTGAACGTGGTAATTATTCGAGAATTAACTAAGGGCTGATTTTTGATAGCTTAGCAGAGGGAATGCAACCGGAAGTTCGCCTCAAACGCGCAGCCTTCTGGGTAATGTAAGGTGCAGGCGGGCGGCACAGCACGCTGAGCACGGAGGGAGGACTGCTGGTGAAAAAATATCTTCCGCAGTTCCGTCAGCTGGCGAGGTTGAAGGTTTAGTAAGTGTACGCTGTTGGCATGTTGAACGCTTGTTTTTGTCGTAACAAGGTTAGGTAACGAGCGAGGTAACTACGCCAGTGCTGCAGCTCTTCCTTTGCTTACAAGAGGAGCGACATGAGTCTGGACGAGCATTCACTGCTTGCGCTGTCCTGGAGGAAGCTGTACCTCAGCCGAGCCAAGCTGAAGGCTTCCAGCCGGACATCAGCTCTGCTTTCTGGATTTGCTATGGTAACATATGTCTCCCAAACATCTTCCTACTTGTAGATTTAGCAGGCATGTATCCTTATGCTGAGCACATTTGTTTGTCGTGGAAAGTAACTACATTTGCTCAAGTACTGTAATACAATTTGAGGTAAGCTACTTGTACTTTTGTTGAGTATTTACATCTGAATGCTACTAGTTTCTTCTCCACTACATTTCAGGGGGATTTTGTTTTGTTTTTCTGCACTTAATGTATTTGAAACATTAAGTTACTAGTATGCATATTATGATTATTCCAAAATATAATGCATAAATCAATTATGGATGAAGATAACACTCAAACCCTTGGTGAATAGACGAGCTTTACAGCAGTTTATATAGTGAGAAATAAGCCCCACCTTTACCTGCTGCATCATTAAAGTGAGGCTGACTGCTTTCTGGTTTTGCCACGGTAACATACTGTATGTCTTAAAAACATACTCTTACTCTTCTGTAGTTAAATCATAGCAAAAGTCTGAACTCCTTCTGCTCAAAATAATCTATAATTTATGAATGCAGTGGTGTAAAGTCAAAACATGTACACAAGCACTTAACTAAGTTACAATTGTGAGGTACTAAACATGAGAATTTCCATCTTTATGCTACTTTTTACTTCTAATCCATGTTATTTCAGTGGAAAATTGTACACTTTTACTCCACTAGATTCATTAGATACATGAATGTACTAGTTCCTTTGCAGACTTAGATTTTTAGTACAAAACAACAAATGAAGATTAAGATACAACTGTTAAGCTCCACCTTTTTATTGTGTTATCTGAAATGGACCATTATGTATGTACTTTTACTATGATTCTTTAAATATATGTTGTATTGCTTATGCTTTTGTACTTTATAGCTACATATGTACAATTTTGAATAGCTAGAGGGTGACCATTCAGATGTTCTTTAAATAGTTGGTAAAGATGGTATTCTGATGATTGTTATGACCATGTGATAGAAGACACATGTTGTGTGAATGGACAATAGAGTTTCTATACTATCTCATGTGATGAATTGTTTTCCTGTTCTCTTACTATTCCTTCTCACTCACAAATCTGCTCTAATGCACTCGATGCTCTATACAATAATGTATATTATACTGTTGATTGTTTGTGACTGGGAATTTGAAATGCTTTATTTGCTCTTACACAGGAGGCATCTGAGCAATAACTTGCTGTGTTTTTAACTTATCTCGTATAATAAAGCTGTTTCCTCTTCTATTCCTTCTTTCCAGGTGGCCATGGTAGAAGTGCAGCTGGACAACAGCTACCCTTACCCCCCTGCTCTCCTCATTGCCTTCAGTGCCTGCACCACTGTGCTTGTAGCTGTTCACCTGTTCGCTCTGATGGTCAGCACCTGCATTCTGCCCAATATAGAGGCTGTCAGCAATGTCCACAACCTCAACTCTGTGCACGAGTCGCCACACGTGCGAATGCACCGACACATTGAACTGGCGTGGGCTTTCTCTACAGTAATAGGTACATTACTCTTCCTAGCCGAGGTGGTTTTACTTTGCTGGGTCAAATTTTTGCCTGTTAAGCCCAACAAGTCCAGCAATAGTACAGTTTCAGCTGGTGTAGCTGCTGCTATTACCTCCACATCTATCATGGTCCCCTTTGGTTTAATCTTCATAGTCTTTGCGGTGCATTTCTACCGCTCCTTGGTAAGCCATAAGACGGACAGGCAGTTTCAGGAGCTGGAGGAGCTTTCTAATCTCACCAGGCTACAAAACGAGCTGGACAACAGAGGGGAGCGTTCCATCCTGCAGTCCCCAAGCTCACATTTCCCATAGTGAAGTATGGTGGATATGTGTCCATGGAACTCTAGTCTGCATGGGATATCACTAAGACAGAAGCCACATTGCTGACTTCTTTTTTTCTTTCGGGAATAAAGATATCTTACCTCTTTATTGTAAATTAACTTACTTAAAAATACTTTTAGGAAACACGTTGGATCAACTGTGAACTCACAAATCTGCTGTGACGCACGGGAAGTTATTTCAATTGTTTTACGTTATTCTGTTGATTGTTTGGACCATGTGATACAAGACACATTTTCGTTTGAACAGACAATCAACATTTATTTTCAATCCTATATTAAAAAAAGCTGTTTCCTGTTCTCTTTCTATTCCTCTCACTTGTAAAGACATATTGTATTGTGAACATTGAAAGTCTTGATTGGAGACTTAACACTGGAGGCATTTCAACCATAACTTGAAATCCTGTCTGCTGCCTGCTGAATTTATTAACCTGTTCATATTTGTTAATACACTTTGGTTGTGTTTTTTTAAACTACAAGGTAACTCTTTACTCTTTATTAACTGTGTACATTTATTGTAATGTTCATCAACTTTTTTTGTAATGCTTGCTGTTAGTGTTGACTGACTCAACAGCTCCTAAAACTACAGTATTATTAGTATAATATATTTGCTGACGTGACGTCAAAACACTATTTTGACAAGTGGCAATCAGAATTTCTAAAATAAATTGAATGTACTATTTGAAAACATTGTATTTTGAATGTTATCTTCGCCGCATACTTTCAAACACTTACGCAAGTTAAACACATCAAATTTAGAATGCTTTCATATTAAAATGTACTTCATGACTTAATGTTATATACTGTAACATGTTAACCATCACCTATGCTGGATAACTAACCAAGCCAGCCCTGTCTCATGATGATTTATCATAATTATCCTCTTGGCTTTTCACAATTTACATTTTTAGAGAGAGGAAAGAAAATTAGCAGTCCTGATGAAGTAATCGTTATTATTAGGGACACGTGTTTCTCTGTGCGTCATTTTGTAAAGTCTGAGCACTCCACTTGTCTCTTAAATCCTGAATTAGCATGTTGCTTTCATCCTTGACTCCCATGAAGTGCTTTTCAATCATTCTGGTACTTATCCAAATGAAATGTAGCTTAGGTTTTCATCTCAACAATTTAGAAGACGGGATTTATCTGAGTTAGCAGTCTGTATTGGAAGAGATAGTTCAGAAGTACAAATGAATGTAGTTTGATGTTGATAGGTGCCATCATTGTCAGAGTTCAGTGTATGAAAAACACAGTAATGCTAAATATTTGGTCAGTCCAATAGTCCTGGTATAAGACTTAAATGATTTCCCTTATGTTTTTTAAATATCAATTGATGTTTTGCTTGGCTCCACAGATAAGAACGGACAGAAGGTGTAAATAAAATCAAGCTGAAAATGCCATCATGCCATTTATTTTCTGTTTTACTCGTTTTCTGTTAGTGTGTTGTGGAGTGGAAACTTCCTGTTGATCGTCTCAAGGTAGGCTTCCTCGGATTCCTTTAAAACCAACTGCATATCCACAAGATGTACCTTAAAGAAAGAACATGTTCATACACAATAAAACGTTAAAAGAAAACTTGATTTGTTGTCCATGATTGTTTAATATTGTGACATAAGGGGAGAGAGTGCCTGCAATCGCTGCAAATCACAATGAAGATGTTTTACCTGTGGAATTTGACACTTTGATGGTGTTGGTGCTTCATTCCTCCCAAGATCAGACAGGGTCCCACATTTTGCTACTCCATCCAACCAAATGCCTTCATAGAGCTGGCCTCTGTCAGAGTAGTAAAACTTTCCATCGCCGTTCTTCTTGCCTTCTCTCCAGGTGCCTTCATACCAGTTTCCATTTGCTTGGAAACAAGTCCGAAAGTACCATTTAAAAATCCACCATCTTGACCAACTATAATGTCCTCTATTTGAGATGTTAACAATGTATGTGAACCCAGTGCTCTTACCACATCGGATGATGCCCTGCCCATTGTTCTTATCCTTCATCCACTCTCCCTCATAGATATCTCTGCTCTCGTAGTACATCCTTCCCCATCCACTCCGTTGGTTCTCACTCCACTCCCCTTCATAAACTGCTAAGTTATTGTAGAGGTACATCCCATACCCCTGAAGAGATAGAAAAGAACACATAACATATCTCAGAGCGTGAATACATCTGATAGATTGTGCATGAACACTGTATAGAATACATACATGCTTCTTTCCATGTTTCCATTCACCACAGTACTTCTTTGCCAACTCCTTTGTTTCAGGGATCAGTACACTGTAGGTACCATATCCATCAGGTTTTCCAAATTTCCACTCTCCATGATAAATGGCACCAGACTTTTTCCAGACCTGAGTTCCCTTCCCTTTCAAACAAATAAGCAAATAAGTTATCTAGTGTGGTCAAAGTGTGTCATGCTCCATAAACAGTGGTTCATACATGTCCTTGTAGGTTAGTAGAAGCTCACATCAGAGGAATCTCACCGTGCTTTTTGTTGTCTTGCCACTCTCCAGTGTATTCATTTCCGATGACAGAGAATATTGTGTGCCGCAGTCCACATTTCTGTGACTTAATATCCAGTAATGCTCTACTTTTTTTAGATGTTTGAAGATAATGCATGGCTGGGCGTAGCTTGATGAAAACCCTGTAACATAGTCAGATAACATGTTACAACCGTGAAGCAGTAAACCTAGGAGTGACCTTTTAAAACTATAATAACAACACATTGCTCTTTATTTCATGTTGAATATACAATTTATAAACAGAACTGTGTGAATATTTGAGAAAAAATTACCAAAATACAGAATTGTTTAAACTTAAAACAACCAACAAAACACAATATTCACATGTTACTACATATAATTAAAGCATTTTTATTTCTTTTATTGGATATACATGATTTCAGCAGTGCTGATACAAATAGATCATGCAAAAACATGAAAAAAGTAAGTACTGTAATTTATATTCTGTTCTCTACTGATGTTCATTAAAAATAACAGTAATTAACCCATTAATGCATTACCAATTATAATCCAGTCATAAAATATACATGAATAAAAAATGGGCCATTGTGCATTGGGTAACTGTTACTTTTAGTTTGATCTTGAAACTCTTTTGAATGCAGGACTCTTAGCAGTAACATAGTATTTATACACTGTGTTGTCACTACTTAATCCTCAGTAAAGTATCTACATTTTTGTCCAACCACTGCATTTAGAATACTTTTAATACAACATATTTTCAAATGAGCAGGTTAGCCACAAGCACATTTTATGCTAACATAATAACTAGCTATTTAATGGTGTTAGTTAACGTTAGCTTCAATACAGTTTAATTGACAACGACCACGTTAGGATGATACTTGTACCTTAGCGATGTGTCCAAGCGGATGATTTACTTAAACTCAATCCGCCTGTAAACTAAGGCCATGTAACTACCGAATTAATAAAAAAACATATTAGCTAACCCGGCTAGCCGCACAAACTTTCCTAGCTTGGGTCTGCAACAGCATTCACTGTATCCTAGCAACATAATTGTGTACTCTAGTCTAGTTGATGCCGAGTGTGAATGTTAAAACATAAGAGATAAGCAGTGGAGGGAGAAGTACTCAGATGATTTAATAAATCAAATGTAACAATACTAAAGTGTAAAAATACTCATTCACAAGTAAAAGTACTGCATTCAAATGTGTACTTAAGTACAAGTAAAAAAAGTATTGGCATCAAAATACTTTAAGTAGGCCTACCAAAAGTGATGCAGTATGGGCACACTATGGGCCATTTAAACACCAGATATTTTTGTTTTAAAATTATTGATACATTAATGCCTCCATCAATGCAGTCTTGCACTTGGTAAACAAACCAATATTTGGAAAACACTACCCTGCTGATAAAACCAGCCTTGTTGGTCTAAGCTGGTTTTTTCAGCAGGGTACTTGGTAGCTTACCCTATAATAATATATGATAATGTACATGTCGATGTATATGTTTGTATTAACCTAAATCTATAAGGTAACTACATTTGCAAAATAAATGTAGTAGAGTAAAAAGTACAAATGTGCCAACAAAATTTAGTGGAGTTAAAGTATAAAGTAGTATTATTTGAAAATACTCAAGTAATGTCCCATAATGTGCCACAATGTTTTACTTAAGTACATATATTTAGTTACATTACACCACTGAACATAATTGTGTACTTTAGTTGGTGCTGTATTAATGTTAAACAGTGTGTGTCTGGAGGGAGTAACTCATGCCAAAGTCATGTTTATGTTAATTGTTCTTAAATTGTATGTTATTACTTAAATGTTCAACCTATGCAGTGGTGGAAAGTATCTAAGTACATTATACTCAAGTACTGTACTTGAGTAAAATGTTGAGGTACTACTTACTTGAGAATTTAAATTTTGTTATCTTCTATTCCACTTCAATTCAGAGGTAAATTATGTACTTTTACTCCACTACATGTATTTGTGTACCTTTAGTTACTTTGCAGATTTGGATTAATGATGTGGAATATAATCAACACTAAACTCTGACTTTATGTACACCTGGAGTCAAATTCAGAAACTACCCTGCAGCATACAAAGTACATAAAATAAGTTGCACCTTTACTAACACTTTAATGCATCAACATGTATACAAATATTATATTAAAAAAAACATAATAGGCCTATATGATTAGAAATTAGTATAATGAGTACTTTTAATTGTGGTCCTTTAAATATAATTTGATGCCAATACTTTTGTACTTTTAACTAACATTTTGAATGCAGAAATTGTACTTGTAACAGAGTATTCTGATCTGAGTATTTCTTCCACCTCTGTGTATTTTATTAGTTTAATGCTCTACCATAGACAGTGTTCAACCTATGGTTTAACCACAGTGGTGCGCATGCGCCCTGCAGTCCGTTTAAAGCGGCTCCTCCTGAGTGGGCAGACAGTCAGACCCTGGGTGAGAGCCAGCTAGTGGAGCCATCCTCCTTCATACATCAGCTGCTGTGCCACAATGTCCAAGCCGAGGTTTCAGACGGAGTGGGAGGAAATGGACGAGGAATATCAACAACTACAGGTGACACTAAAACCAGTAAACCATTAATGGTAGCCTGCTGTTCGGATAGCATGTCGTGGATGGCACTGACAGCTACTACGTTAGTTTGGATGGCTCCTTCCTATTCGCCATTCATTCTCAGCTCACCCGTAAACGCAGCTTTTTCAACCAATAACTTTGCTGTTGGAAAATTGTATTTAAGGGATGGACAAATGTCAGGATGTGTTAACATCTTTGAATTGTGAGTAACACCCGTGTGTTTCTGCAGCTAACGTTAGCAGCAGGTTACTTGTGTTGCTGCTAGGCGGCTAATGAGCAGCTACAGTAACTTAGCTAACAATTGAATAATTCTTGAATTAATTCTATTGAACTTACTAAGAAATGTGTTAAGGTAACTTCACGCTATGGCTTTGTTTGATAACACCATTTTGCAGAAGTCATTGAATACATCATCATCCTTTACCATTACCACACTAGCTCACGTTGGCTAGCTAGCTAACTTGAAACAACAACATAAGTGGTCAATAATAGGAAGAGATACAGCTCCCCTTTTAGGTTAAAAATAAAGCATCATGGTGGTGTTGTGGCACGATCACCCTTCTGCCTATGCTAGTACCAGGCAAATAAGACCTGTGATGCCATCACAATGTA